ACACTCTATGCGATTTTCTAAGTCGCTACCCGATTGTGAGTACAAATTCAGTGCAGATAAATACATTGCCTACATTAGACCAAATTCAGCAGTCTCAGAAAAATTCCATTTATGGAAATCTTATCAAATTTTTGAAAGGCGAATTCGATATTCCACCGCCAAAATTTTCTGACACGTTGGGCGATATTCCCTCTATAATGACTGTCTTTACTACACTTTTCATAATACAGCTCGATTGGTTACTCCTGGTAGTATACTTCAAGATAAAATTATTGAAATTTTCCACACCAATCCACTTTTAGGCTCACATTTAGGCGTACGAAAAACTATGAAAGCCATCTCAGCTAAATATTTTTGGGATAAGTTAGAGAATAAAGTCGCCAAATTTATAAGAAAATGCCCCACATGCCAGAAAATAAAAACACCATCCGGTAATATCATTCGAGAGGAATTAGATCATTCCCAATCCCTCAAAGACCTTTTGAACGATTGCATACAGACATAATAGGCCCGTTACCGCAATGTATCGACGGTAACAAATTTATTTCGATTACCGTTTGTGCCTTTAGTAAGCTGATAATCTGTACTCCAATCCCCAATCAGACAACAGATTTTGTTGTCAAGGCTTTGATAAACGATGTCATAGCCAAACACGGAATACCTAACGAACTAGTGTCCGATCGTGGTTCTAATTACACTAGTGAAATGTTTGTGAAAATGAACCGCATACTGGGCATTTCCAACAATTTCACTACTAGTTACAACCACAAAGCGAACGGCCAGGTCGAAAGGATGGTTAAGGTAATAACAGACTCCCTAACGGCTTATTGCGCAGAAGTCAAGGAACTCTGGTCTGATTTCTTACAGCCGATCGTCTTCGCCTATAACACTAGTATCAATGAACCACAGGTTATAGTCCATACTTTGTTGTGTATGGACGTCACCCGATTACCTGGTGCGACATAGTCCATCAGTTACCCTCGAGGATATCCTACGCAACTGATAGTTTCACGACCAGCTGACCACTGCACTGCAAACCACAATTATGGAAGTTGGCAACCAGATCGCCAGCAAAACAGCGACGTATAAGTCAGGTTATGATTTCCATAATAAAGTTTATTCTAAGGAAATTTCCACTGGAGATTTAGTTTTACTAAGAGACGACACTATTCGTCCAAAATTCACATACCAGTGGAAAGGCCCTTTTATGGTTGTGCAAGTCAATCGTCCGAATGTCACTATAACTAACTTGATTGGACCTACTAAAACTCAATGTGTCCATATGAATAGGCTCAAAATCTATTCGCATAGTTCAACATTGGCTAGAGTTTCCCCCCAAAAACTCATTATATCACATAAGCCAACGGAAACTCCAGAAAATGTTGAACAAACTCAGTTTGCCAAACGAACTCCTCGTTTGCAACTGAAGAAATCATTTACAGCGGATCCAAACATCGATTCCGAAGGAGAGGATGAATAATTGCTCGCTAAATTTTTTATATCCATTTGATATTTTGCAATGAGTAGTTATTCATTCTCTAAGGTCAGTTTGTTTCCCCTATTTTTGCTGCACCGTCGCGTATTTACGTACCTTAAAATTTTCTTTGAACAGGCAATTCAAAGAAATCTTTTGCACTAGGCAGCTCAACATCAAAAACCTTTTTGGTAACAAACAAATTTTGCCCTTATGTTGAATGAAAAAAAAGTGTGCAGTGCCCAATTCAACATATGAACTCGTTATGCCTCTGTTTTACATGCAATTACTCACAGAAAATGATACTGTGAACAAAATTTTGTAATTTTGTAAAATTACTATTGAATTATGTTTTATAACTGCCTCGAAATAACCGTTAAAATTTTTCTGCGTATATGTATCATGAATTTATCACTGATTTATCATTATTATCATCGTAGAATAATTTGCTGATAACCAGTTTTTCTTATACCTTCTACTTCGCATATTCAGTAATTACTAGTACAAGTTTTCTACAGGCTGTAAATTCCACCCCAAATGTTAAATCATTTGCCCTTCGATCAACTCCATTTTTACCATGCCCCAAAATCAATCGGTCCATCTCCATTTCCTACAATTCCACTCCAACTCCTTCCCAGCATCATGTCGGGGACCCCATTCACGTCAACTGCATCTTTCCGCAGTTCCTCCCCCACTCCTCAGTTATCTTCAAGCTCGAGGACGATCTTACTCAAAGCCGTAGGATATTCTAGGTGAAGGTCGTGTCTGCTCGCAGTCCACCGGATCCATATCCTCACATTCGTATGTATTTAAATATATCACTACTTCAACTGTATGTTCTCGCAGTATATCACGTGTAAATTCCAACACACGTTACTCGGAAGAACATCCGCCATACCTCAATATATCACCACTTCAATTGTATGTTCTCGCCGTAAATTACGTGCAAACTCCAACGCATGGTACTCGGAAGAACATCAACCACATCAACGCCAACAACTACAACGATTCGAAACCTCAGCCATACCACAAGCTCGAGGACGAGCTTCTGGAAGGAATGGAGATGTCGGGATGCAGCTAGTTAGAACAGCTGCTCGAGAAGGAGGTTGGCCGAAGACCGCCAACCTCTGGCAGTGACGCCTCGGCCGCCGGCAGCAACCGGTTGCCTTCCCCCTTTTTCTTTCCCCCTTTTGTATATAATTATTTATAATAAACATTATAGTAACGTATGTAAGCCCGCTACACATCAGGTAAAGGACCTGCAGACCTTTAACCTGACAACTATGGAAAGACTCTCTATTTTGTTTGAAAATAGCAAATAAAAAACATAAAAGCTAAGGAATGGGCGATTTTGGGATAATTCCAAGATGTAGTCTCAGGCCAATGCGGCCATGTTCAAAATGCAAGAGCAAAATGTGATATCTGAAAGCAAGAAATCAGTCTCTGATTCTCTGAGACCGTCCCCATACCTTACGCCCACAGCGATTTGCAGTAGGTTCAACATTCTGGAGATGGGACTTATGCAACCAAGCAAACACGAGCGCAGCGCAACTGATACCATGCCAAGACTTTTCCACCTTATTGTTGAAGGCAGTGTCCGGGAAAAAACCCGAGCTTGAGATTTTGTGCTTACCCGGGCCTATTCGCTACGCTGAATCCAAAAATGCATATTGGAAACCGCGAAAACGGAAAAAAAGGGCTCTAACAAAGGAGGGAAATCAGCATGTGGGCGGAGTCTGCCCACTGTGAATTCACGCTCCCAGCTTCCGAAGTGATCTTCTCGCTTCCGGTTTCAAATCAAGCGTTCGTACTTGGCCGATGGAGATGTTAGAACGGCTAGCGGAATCGAGAAGACCGCTCCGGAAGATGGGAGCGTGAATTTACAGAGGGGAAGACTCCGCCCACTTGCTGTTCCCTCCTGCGCTGTAACCTCTTTTTGCCGTTTTCGCGCTTTCCCGTGTGGATTTTCGGATTCAGCATGGCGAATAGGCCCGTATAAGCACAAAATCTCAAAAGAAATCTCGAGTTTTTTCCCGGACACTACCTTTAAGTGCTCCAGAAAAAAGCTCCCGGCTATCGTGGAAACAAGATCAGACAATGGCCCATAGTAAACCCCACTTCACTTCAGATGATGTCAACTGAGGGCTGAGTTGAGGTTTTTAAGATAAACTGACTAATAGTCACTCTCACATGCTTGAGAATGCGACCTGATCTGAAGGGTTAGCGTCGGCATGTGCCGCGATGAATTCACCTGAAATCCGTAAGAGCAGCCTCGATTTTGAGATGAATTAACCGAAATAGTGTGCAAGGGATAAGACGCAGAGAAAAATCCCGTAAGTTGCTCGTGAGTAACTTACGGGACATCGTACTTGACGTATTGTTGCAGTATTGTTGAGTTTTTGAAGTGATTTGAAATTGTCATCATTTTCCTTTAAGAATTTTCTGGCCTTCAAAATAATATAGAAATAGAGGATATCACGCTTTCCCTAGGTTGATGTCGCACCTCAGAGCGACGAGGCGCGAGAAAACCTTCGGCAAGAGCTTTAGAGACGAGCGTAGTTACTGTACCATCTGCAGCGGCTTTGCCGGCAGCTGTGGCGGCTGGCTGCAGCAGCAGTCGGCTGCCTGGGTACCACTTGCTACGCACCCCAAGAACGCGCAAAACTGCACAATACCTGTGCCCAAAAAGGAAAGGATCAATGAACAGCTGATTTCGGCAAAAAACAAGGGAACAGATTTTTTACTTTTTGCAGAATTTGCTTGGAAATTTTCTACAAAAGCTACTCAGAGCGACAATCTCTTTATTTATTTCCATTTGATTTCGTCCCTACTTCCTCAAATTTTTATGAAATTTTGGTTAAAAAAACGCAGTTTTGTTTTGTGCATTCTTTTGGTTTGTAGATTCCTTGGTAGCAGCCGCCATCGATTTTCTTCGATAGTGGTCGCTATCAAAGATTGCTCAGTGATGCACACAAATTTACCAGTGGCCGGTGCCGAACCACTGTCATGCGGGCTGAGTACCAGTCACATACCTGTTTGACCAAACCTGCATAGTGTAGGTGTTTTCTCTTTGATAACGCGCAAGATTTTTATGCCTGAAAAGCGATCCGCATCTAGGTCAATAACTCGCGGGATGCTAGACCGAGGCGCCATACGATCAACTCAGTTCTCTCTTACGGCAGATCCCCTGAAGGGGGGTTTACTACGGGCCAATCACTTTTTTTCCTTCACTTTGCCTTGGATAGAAACAAATCAATCATCTCGTTATACCGAAAAATGCCCGCTGTCTCTGCTGCAACAATGGCCATGACAAATATTGACTTACCCAAATTTCTGCAGCAATGTTCATGGTGAATATTGACTCTCCTACATTCTGACACAAATTCCCGAAATTTCAGATATTGAGAAAAAAACCTGTAGTTATCCTGTTTTAGAAAATTGAGGATTAGTTCAGAATGTGGGAGAAAAGCTCAAGTTCACGCGTTTTAAAATTTTGCATGTTGTTCGAACTTTATCAATGTTTCAGCTCTGTTTTTGTCACGTTTCCCGAGATCGCATTCCATTTCCATGGAGCAGCAATACGCATCTGGTACTGTCTCAAAAGAAATTTCAAGAGTTATTCTTTAGAACCTATGGCCTTGAAAATAAAGTGTGAGTTTGTTTACCTTAACAAATTCTAATACGAAGACTTATAAATAGCAAGCTTTATAAGGTTTTGTCGGGGCTGCCGGTTTTTAAGATACGGGCGGAAACAGGGCTTGGTCGCAGAAACAGGACACCATTGCCTACTTATAGGTTATGATCAAACCCTCACTTGTCCGCTTGCCCCTGGCGCTTTCTTCAAGCAGAAATATTTTTACTGAACACGGCGCTAAGAAAGTACGCATGTACTCTTTGCTTAACTGGTATTGATAGGTGGAAGGCGGAGCTTCGACCGCTAATTAAGCCTGGGAAATAATTGTTGAGTGTGCCTGCGAGAGACAAAAGGCCCAGAGCGCCCCTTACCATCCGTCACTCCCAGTCAAACAGTGGCTCCCAGTCAAACAGTGGCTAAGTTAAAGCCCTTGTAAAATCCAATTGCCCACGCGTCACTCTATGCTCTATCAGTATCATCTCGATAACTCCCTCCCCCCCATCCAGTACCCCTCGATAAGGCCCTCAGGTGTGGCATGCCAACCCCAACCTTGACTCTGCGATTACCCCGATGTTAATGCGCCACCATCAAGCCCCTTTTGAACTCGGCACTATTTTTTTGTGTTTTCTCGTCGTTACATGGTAATTTCTTTGTTACAATGGCGTTTGCAATCAGAATCGACGAGTTTGTTGTTCAGCGATGTTTCGTACTATTATTCGTTTCTTTAGCTTTATCTTCAGGTAAGGTTGTAAAAACGATGCACATGAGAGTTTTCATGGGGTTCATTGCAGTAACACTTCAAGACATGTTACTTACCATCCAATCTTAATCTTTTCTTCAAAACCTGAGATCAGAGCTGAAGAAACGAGCATAGCAGCGCGAAACATCGCTTAAAAGCAATAGAGTTTTCTCTCACATTGAAAAGACTGTTAATATTCATAGCAGGAAACGTCGGAAAAGCACAAGAAGAATCAGTTTGAAATTGAACTAAGGCTGAAGATGCCGCGCTCTACCGCAAACGGCGTGTATAGTTCAAATTCGAATTCGTCCACTAGGTGTCCAGTAGGGATATGACAACTATACAAGGAGAGGATCGAGCAGATACGCGACCTTCATCGCCCGCGCTGAAGTGAAGAAGTGTTATAGAAGTAGGAACAACTCTTTTCGTCGGACAAGCATTAAAGTCGATGGACTTTTGTGATACTTCTTTCCCTGTCTAATCCATTTATTCAGTCTTTTTCAGTTAAATCGTATGTTTTGATTTGGTACTTTATAAGTTTCACTATGTTTGTCGTTTCGTGTTGGGATTACGCGATCAAGGCGCCTGTACGTCTTTTTGTTGAATATTGGGATAAAAGGTAAAAATGGGACAGCTTGATTTTCACTAAATTATGAAAAATTTTCGTTTCGACCAACAACTAACAATAAGCAGGCTGCAGCTCAAATGTTGCTTACGTAAGCGACCTTGCCTATTATTCTAGCAACTCGTTACGCTCCTCCCTCATAACCGTAGGCGTGGCGTCGCGAAGAACTTGGATGGGGTTTTTTGAACATCTCGCAATCTTGCGCTGCTATGTGGTAAAGATCATAAAGCGAAAATAATGTCGCGTCGTATTTTGTTATGCAATGTCGCGGTAGGGTGAGCATGAATAAGAGCATATGGGGTATCAACCGATAGACCGAAGCAAGCTCTACAAAACGAACCTTGAACATTCGTGCCAAGTTTGAACTGCAAAAACTTTTAATCCAAATTTCAAAAGCCACTAAAGGCCTAAAGAACAAAAAAGATCGCATCTTCTTTCAAAAAATCTCAGAAACCCCTAACCTTCTCACGCACACTCTCTCTACATCGAACACTCGTATGCAAGTTTCGTCACTGTTGCCTGTCTAAATCGAGAAACCAAAATTTTGCGTACTTTGGTCAAAGCAATCCTGAGCTTCTGCTAGATAAGGGTTGTTTTTAGATCTTTGAAAGTATAGTATAAATACGAAATCTCAGTTTTTTATTTAGGCTAGTTTTCGAGAAAGATAAAAAACCCCAAAAAATGCTGCACATTCTCACTTTTGGCCTATTTTTGTTTCTCGTATTCTAGCCATGAAAAAAATCCAAAAAAGTACACATGGATGTTTGATGTGGAGAATGCATGACTGAGCAAATTTGCGATCTGTAGGAACTCTATGGGATGAGATTCAATTTTTTGCGTATTTGAAATTCTTATCACATGCTTTTCCTCCAAAGTGTAAACCAAACTTTGCTTAAATGTTTGGAAGCCATCTTGCAGAGCTTGCTTTGCTCTGTCAAAGGATACCCCACTCACTGTTTTTCGTGACCACCCTGTCGCAATAGGATGCAATGCGGCATTATTCTCCGGACAACCTGATAAAGGCCTAGAATCAATGTGTTTCGACACATTCTACGCTAGGAGCTAGGTCGGATTAATTTGAGGAGCCAAGCCAAGGAGACATGAACGTGCTAAAAGACTTAATAAATTCTACACAATGCTCCGAGCCTCAAGCAATAGCGCCTGGAAGCTAGACAATTGCGTGACAACAATTTTTTGAAAATGTTGTTTGCTTCACAGCTGTTCACATACAAACCTCTGTTGGGCCCCGCCACTTGATGAATTGAGTGAACTTATCAGTTAACAAAGGGACCGCCTGCCATCTAATTGGAGACTTAAGGTACCTATAAATCGTTACCGTCGTTTCCAGCGTTACAGTGTCGTCGGGTTTTCGCAGGTGCGACTGCTTGGAACACTTATTGATAACCTTCATCCCGTGTAGGTTTGAAAACATGTCGTCAAGTTGTTCCTTACCTACAACTATCCTTTGCTCGAAAATGTGCATAAAAAATAGTGTGGAGAACGGAAGTAAAATGCAAGTGTACCCTTGAGAGTGGGAACAGCAAGTTCGATCCCCACGCGGCACTTGCCAAAAACAATGGCAACGCTAAAGTCATTGGTGACATTGACAACAGTTGTTCGCAATACACGACCAAACTCTTGGGCTCGAATTTATGATGCTCTGCAAAGTATAGAGCTGCGGCGTTCCATCGAAAGGGGGGGGGGGGCAGTTTTTCGCACCCAATTCATGGGAGCACCGTCGTCATCGCCACAAAAGTGTAGGCAGTGTCCATGCAAAAAGTCGATCTTGAGATTTTATGCTTATCCGGGCCTATTCGCCATGCTGAATCCGAAAATGCACAGTGGAGTGCGCGAAAACGGCGAAAAAAGGCTCTAACGGAGGAGGGAAGTTGCAGGTGGGCGGGGCCGTTCACACCGTGACGTCACTCTCCCAGGCTTTAGAAGCGATCTTCTCGGTTCCGATCTTATGTCATGCGTTTCGCAGTTAGCTGGTGGTGATGTTAGGGTGACTAGAGGAAGCGAGAAGATCGCTCCTGAAGCTGCGAGAGTGACGCCACCATGTGAACAGCCCCGCCCACCTGCAATTTCCCTCCTCCGTTAGAGCCTTTTTTGCCGTTTTCGCACTCTCCAGTGTTGATTTTCGGATCCAGCATGGCGAATAGGCCCAGGTAAGCACAAAATCTCGAAATCGACTTTTTGCTTGGACACTGCCTTTAGTTATGCGCAGCTCAATTTTGTTGATTCATGTGGCATGTCTTGTGGGTACGGGAGACAAAGTAAATTGAATTGAAATGGCGGTCATTACTTATTACTGTCTAATGTGTTCAGGGACGCTATCACTCTTGACGATGGAACCCCTCTAGAAGTTGTAGACGTAATGGTGTTTCAGAATTTCTCCTCTGAAAAGTGAGCCATAGTTATATCTTATCGTAACAATTAGGAAGGTTCCTTAAGTAATTCGTGAAATTCTTCAAAAATCTGGTTCGTAATGGACTTGTTTGCAAAGTACTGTGTCTTTGCGCATGCGGTTCGTCATAAGATAACAAAATTGCGACCGAGCAAAGCTTCCTCTACGCAAAGGAGTAAAGAAAAGCGTTTAGATAATTTGCACTGCAAGACTTCGCTGAGGATCATGCACTGAGGTCTCGGAGACCGCGTTTCCGGCTTTTGTCAGCGTCCATTTCAACGAGAGAAGAGACATAAAAATTTCGAACAACCGGATTCCAGAACCTGCTTTTCTATCGCAATTTTGAAAACATTCTTTTTGCACTTTGCAGCGACCTAACCAGTGCTCGGCACAGGTAGCTTATGAGCTTGCGATATCGTTTTTGGGACAGAAAGCAAAGGGGGTTTCGTTTTCGTGGCCGAAAAGACACGAAATTTGCGACTTTTTCGTTTTTTGGAGGTTTTCAGGGCTATGGTCTAGGATCAAAGGGGATTTCGTAACAATTCGCAAAAGTCAAGGGTGATTTCGTTTTTTGCATTTTCATCGAGCCACCAACGGTAGGAAAGTTAACTTATCGCATCGTTTCATCAGAAGAAATCTATGGGCATTGCTGATCAAAACATATTTGAATAAACTACTTTATACTACTATATACTACTATATAAACTACTTTATACTACTACACTATATACTTTAGAAGTTTGTCTTCTTCACCAAGTCTGAGTGGATGTCAAATATGCATGACCTGTAACTAAAGCAACATTTAGGATGCATTATTAAAGCAAAATTGTTTTTGCTTTCAAGTGAAGAGTTTTGAAAGAACGCTGGTAAAGGTGGAACTAACTGGAAGAATTTGCATTGGTTAATTTCACCTTTGTGCAAATTTTGCAAATGCTTTTACTCTTTACATAAAATTTCGTGAAACCTAACCAAGCCATCAAATACAGCAACACTTATGCTTTGCTCGGAGATTTTTTGTAGAAATTTTGAAAATCTCACTGAATCTTACTTTGGTAATGATCTTTTGCAGAGGTCTTGATTTTCGGTTTTTGGTGAAAAAAATTTGCAAAGTCAATTCAACCAACGAATCCGATTTTTCCCCGAATATAATTGCCCCTACACATGATCTAAAATTGCCGTCTCAAGCAAACCAAGCACGATTTTTTGCAACTCGTCCTGCAGTATAAGTATTAGGTTGTCCCATAAGTCTTTTCAGACCCGACTTTTCAACGACATAAATCAGTTCTTCTCGAACTCCTGATAAATTGCAGGGTACCATTCAACAGATCAAAGTAAGCTCTACAAGATGGCGTTCAAAAGTTTGCACCAAGTCCAATCGCAACATGCTCCAAACCAAAATAAAAAATTTTCCCAAATTTCCGAAAAAACGAAAATCATCATATCTCAGTTCAAAACAGCTCTGCAAATTTCCTGTTTTTTCATGCATATACTCTCCTCATCGGATATTCATAAATGCATGCTGCATTTTTCTGATGGCTAGAAACCAATAAAAAAATAATGCGCTCAATTTTCAAACTTTGCCTGTATCACTTCTGTATTCCCCGCAAGTAGGTGATTATATAGCTTATTTGCTCAGAATTACTGACAAAAATTTGCAGCCTACTAGGTGCTGTAGTTCCTGAGAAAAATCGAATTGAAGGTCCGAATATGAAAAAACTTATGGGACAACCTAATATTTTGTATCGCCCTCCAGTTTTGGCTGGACTAGTAGTTAACAAGATTTTGCAGAGAAGTGGTGATGAAAAGTGTTAAACTTGTTAAACTGTTATAAACTTATTTGCAAGGCGCATAACAGTCTCTCACCAAGCATATCACACTTTCCAACTTTTTCCATCCTCAGAAACATTATGGGTAGAAAAAAGGAACAGTTTTTGGTGTAAATTATGCTAGTGCCACGTATCCACCGTGCATTATTGGTGTTTGATAATTTCTTTCATTATTCGCCTGTTTATAATTCTTTAGGTTTCAAATGATGAGGTTTGCTCTATCTATGGGAGGATTTCATTCGTATGTGGGACTTTCGATGCCAAAACGTAAGTTCCAAATGAATCGTTCTCGTGTTATTATACAGGGTGTCCCAAAAAAATGTATCGAACGTTTGATCATTAATATCTCTCTTCCCAAAGGGTCTTTTGCCTTGCTTCAAGTACTGTTTTGTAGAGCTGGCTTCAACTTAGATTTGCATTATAGAACGAATCACCCATCTCTCTTCATTACTGTAAGATTACGGTAGAAACTTGAAACATATGGTGTTAATGTGGAAAAAGCTGCCGTTCCAAAAATTTTCAAAAAAAAATGTGAAAACTTGTGTAATAGGATTCTTATGGACGCTGAGTTTGATACTCAACTATTCACGAGATTACGAAGCTTTCTAAACGGTGTAACTGCACTTTTTAGGAGCATTGAAAGAATAGCCGCTACCTCTTACCTGGCATAACTCTTCAATGAAGCATCATAATCAGTTGGGAACTTTACAGTTATAATCAGAAACTCTAATCAGCCTAGTGTAAAAGTTTTGAGGCTGTTTTGTTTCCTTTCTGAGGCAAAATATGGTCTTTCATTGCTTAAGACCCTCTTTGAAGTTTCTACCGTAATCCTACAATAATGAAGAGAGATGAGTGATTCGTTCTATAATGCAAATCTAAGTTGAAGCCAGCTCTACAGACTGGCACCTGAAGCAAGGGAAAAGACTTCTTCAGAAGAGAGATATCAACGATCAAACGTTCGATACATTATTTTGGGACACCCTGTATTGTGCCGAACAGATTTTTATGATAAATTATTATTGCCTGTCGTTCCGAAAAGTAGCATCTTTTGGTGTCCTTCAACCCACCGTACACTCAGTAAATAACCCATTGTGACGGACATCATGGTGGTGCAGTTTCCATTCAGGAATTTACTACGGTCTGAATGAAAGCAATTCTAGAAATTACGACACCCAACGAAACGTACGACGAAAAAATACGCACCATAAACTGATTGGCACGTTACGAAGCGCAGATTCAGTTAAATAGTCAGGTTCAAAAAAGAAAGCACATGAAGCTTGTGCGAATTCCTTTGGTCATCCTCTTTGTTATGAAAAGGAAATTCCTTTATAAAGGTTCTACGGAGGTTCTCATCGAGCGTTTTGCTCTTGTTCTCGTTTTCTCTTGAACATGATAGTCCTGTTTGACTGTTTATGTGCAATTCCAATAAGAGATTCAAAGTATTTTGATATAAACATTAGACATGAGCAGACTGAAGATGTCGCCATACAAAGCTTGTTGACAAACAAAAAAAAAAAGATAAACAATCGTTAAGTACAATTCCCTATCTCAACCGTTGAAGGCTCGGCAAATCCGCGGTCTGAAGTTTTTTACCCGGGTATCTTGAAGCTCTGATTCCGAAAATACACTTTGAAGAGCGCGAAAACGGCGAGAACTAGCATTTTCCGAGGATCATCATTTCGAATTTGGACGAGTGAACGCTTCACGTCATAGTTAGAGATGTAGAGTCGTTGCGGGACCATCATGTTTATAACAGTGCGGCATACCGTCTCTGACGGTGAGGGGAGTCTCAAGCTCGTCCGAGCGCGTCTAAGAATGCTTGCTCTCACGGGTTTAGGGGCACTTTTCTAGGCGGGGCAGCGTGCTATGCGCTCGGACGTGCTCTCTTCTCATGCTTGGGATGCAAGCAACCCTCCATATCAGAATTTTGATATGTTTGGTTTTGCCGAGCCACTGCCTTTGAGGCATACTTTGAAGGCAGTGTCCAGACAAATTAGGGCACACTGGTTTTTTTGTGAAGGCTAATGAGGGGGTCCCAACTAGCACTGCCAAGCGGCAATCTCCAAATCCTCAAGCTCTGCGACTGATCGTAGCATGCAATTACTTTGCTCCGAGTAGCATTGCGTTCGCGCTGGGACCCATCCCTGGTCACTCGCGAGTTACGGTCACGGCGCAGCTTGAAGGCAGGGTCAAGCGTGTTGATGCGATCCTGGACCCTCATTTACGACCCCCTTCCCTTGAAGGTACCCATCCGTACGATCCCTCCCCCCCCCCCCCCCCCTCCCTCCCCCGCCTCCATCTATCCCCCTTACCTTCCCTGCCCACATTTCTCGCGGTAACCTGCATAAACGAATGTCAATCTCAAAAAACACCTGCGTGAGAACTTCAGTGAGGTTTCGGAAGCAGAATTTCTAGGCCGTGGGTGCGCCCGCATCTCTCGCACATATACACACCTTCAATAATGTTTGAGATTCTGCAAGTTTACTTTTGAATTTTCAGGCATACTTCAGGCCAGCAAATTCGATTCCCGTAGGCGACACAAATTTTTGCACGAAGAAAAAATGACATTCTTGAACTACAAAAGATGTTTTCGACTAAGAAGCTTACTTCCTACCTCTCCCACAGTTTTTTCCGCAATAAAAACCGCTTGAGCGCCGTCAGAACGACGCCAAAAGTGCATGAGCACGGTAGTTTGAAAATTCGTAACTAAGACCAGGAAAAGAATGAGAGGCTGCAAAGCACAGGTTCTGTAGTATTGTGCCCAGACTATCCAATGAAAAAGGTTCAGCTCTTGTCAAATGATGCCCCACTTACTGTTTTTCGTGACCACCCTGTCGTGAAGGATGCAATGCGACATTATTTTCCGCACAACCTGATAAAAGATCATTTCAAGAATGTGATAAAACTTCCGGACCGACCTAATATACACCTGATGACTTCAAAAGAGCGTAACAATTATTCGCTCAAGTAGTTACGTAGTAGCTTACGTAGTAGCTCAAGTACTACGCATACACAGTAAGATTTTGAGTCGGAAATTTTAGACCTAACGGAAGCGGATACCGATACATCGCAATGGGGGATAGATAGAACAGCACTTCTACAACGTACCTACAAGATAATTGGTGTGTGGATGATTTCTATTACTCAATAGAGCCTTTTTTTCAGAACCATTATTTGTTAGCGATCGCTTCAACCTCTCCCGAGATTGTGATGCCAAAATATTGTTAATTGGTTTAGGAGGTGGTACTATAAACAACTTTCTGCATCAAATCTTTCCCCAGGTTGATTCACTTTTTACAATAAGCTGTAGTGCAAGCGATTGATTATCAGATGAGTTTAACCGCAGTGGAGATTGACGGACAAATGATTAACGTGGCCAGAAAGTGGTTTGGTCTTTTAGAAGATGATCATCAACGAGTCATTAAGGCCGATGGAGTCACTTTTCTAGCGGATAGTGTTAAAAAAGGTCTGCTTACTTCTACATCTATGCAAGAGTACTGAAGTTCATTTAGGAGATTCTTACGACGCGATACTGTTAGATGCGGGTGGGCCACAGCTAGAAAGCGATTTCATTTGCCCTCACAAATCCTTCCTAAAAAAAGATGTGCTGAGAAATATTGCGACGTTGCTTCCCAAGCACGGTATGTTTATTGCTGCCACATCTGCAAAAGATATTCATTCAAATTCTTTTTTTAGACACTATGCATATATTCACAGTCAACCATTTTTGTGACACTTCAAAGATTTCAAACATTGTTGCCAACGCTTTGCATTAATTTTATAATTTTGGCAAACCTAAAATGTTTATAAAACACTTGATGTTAGTCTATAGAAACGATAATTTTCAAATTACTTGACTTTTTCAAGCAAAATAGACCTTAGCCTTCATAAAAGATGATAGGTAGAAATAAAGCGCGCAAGTGCCGTGCGACAACAGTAACATCTTTGCTAGGTTGATGCAAAAATGGTGTCTATTTTACTACCACATTAGTGTTCATAAAAGAATTTGAGGGCCGTTGTTCAATAGCGAAGCATGATTGCATAACTACTGGAAGTCCTCTCTAATTATTATCCACGTAAATTGAAGTCAGAACTCGAAAACATTTGAATGCTTTAAGAACGTGTTCTTACTCAAAAATCTTACGGAGCCTATATTTGGTCATCATTTTATGAACGCTAGAATTTGCACACTTCTCATTGCGTAAAAATTCAAAAATCAGGTATTAATATACTGTTGCATTAAAAAAGATTCAAACCGCAATAATTCATATACTAGGTCTGTCCGAGGTTTTCCTCTTCTAACAATCATGTTTTTGTTTTTCCAACCCATGGTTTTTAGCTATCCCAAATTTACCTGTTTCTTGAATTTTCATGCCTGATTTTTGAAAGTGTTCTGAAAACCATGGCTTAGAGTAAAGGAAGTGCAGTACAATGAATTTTCTGGGCAACCGAAATGGCTATTTAGTATTTGGCAAGATGAATTTTCCAAAAGCCTGCTTTAGTTTCGCGAAGTCATACAATACATAAACGCTTCAAACATTGATAGATTGTTGAGATTTGAAACTTCCCAAATTGAAGACAATTTATATTTTGCCAGGCAACTAATGGTATACCACTTAAAGATGTCAAAATTCGCATCTTCGCTGTGCAGTCCGAGGTGCTTTCAGAATCAGAATCACGATATTTTTTCTAAGGCTTCACAAACTGAGAATAAAATCAGCTGTGAAAACGTTGCATTAAATGAGAGCTTAGTGGAGAGCTTGATGTTTCATGAAGTTTGGCATGATTAAACCTAGAATTTGATAGCATCAAAAAATAATTTCCAAAAATTCCGGAAAGCCAGCTATGGATGCCAAAAATCGCACTTTGCTTATTCCATTCAAGCATCAAAGTTCTTCCAAATGAAATGAAAAGTCTAGAAATTAGCTGATTCTAGAGTCGGTGAAAGTCATGGGATTATGATGATTATCCGAGCGAGCAATAAAGATCTCGGAGCAAATACATGATAGCCGGAAGAGAGATCTTTGATGGTCCAAGTAGTTGCCAGAATCTCAAATTTTTTACGCACCCTAATTTTAGCCATTTTTCAGAGCTTTCATTTCGTTTTGGAGGAGTTTTGAGTTTTTAGAGGGGTTTTGATAACGGGATGGAATAAAAATGCACTATAAACAAAGTGTATTTTTTGGTACCTAGCTGGTTTTTTTAAATTTAGAATTATTTCTAATGCTATCAAGTTCTATGTTGTCATGCCAAACCTCATAGAGCATCGCTCGTCGCTATGAGTCACATTTTGCATTTTTTCTCCCCTTCTGATACTTGTTTTCCGTTCTCTGTTGGTGAAGTCTCCTGAAAAGTTATCATAATTCTAATTTTGAAAGCGCCTCGGACTGCACAAAGAAGGTGCGAATTTTGACATCTTTAAGTGGTATACCGTTAGTTGCTTGGCAAAATATAAATCGTAATCAATCTGGGAAGTTTCAAATCCCAACAATCTATCAGTGTCTGAAACGTTTATGTATTCTATGACTTCGCGAAACTGAAGCAGGCTTTTGGAAAATTACTTAGATACTTAGATACTTAGATGGCCCGTCTTCACGTGGCGTGCGGGCCCCAGCACATGAGTTTCCATTTGTCAGTGTCCCTCGCCTCAGACATCCACGATCTTCTTGGGTGACGTCGGTGGCTGCATCCACGAGTTCCAGATGCGAAAATCCAGCTGATTTTCAGCTGGTCCATCCTTCCACGAACACGTCTGCCCATCTCGTCGGTGGTTGGTCTTCTTCGGGAATGTTTGGCTTCGCGAGGAATCCACTTACCCTATTTTCAGGTGTATAAGCCGCACCCTTTTCGCTCTAATCGCGAGCAGACCCAGGCGTGCCGCCGCGCATATGTCTCGCGAAGCGGTCGCCTTATCGCATATGTTCTCACTTAACGCGCTCCATGATAACAGTCAGTCTTTTGGCGTGTTCACCTTTAGATTGAAAAGGGTGCGGCTTATACACCTGAAAATAGGGTAGATGTTCTTAGTGTCCATCTGTCGTCTGTTCTTCTCATGATGTGACCGGCCCATCGGTGTTTCGCTTTCGCAATGTATTCCGCTGGGTCACGAAGACGGGACAATCTCCTCATATCCGTACTGCTTAGTCCGACTAGATGTTGCTTTCGTCGGGCCATCTTCAGAAGACTGCGCTCAAGCGCTCTGTGGGTGGTCCGTAGAGTTTTCGACGTGACTACAGTGTCGGGCCAAGTCTCAGCTGCGTAACAGAGCGCCGGGAGAACGATTGAGTTGAACAGGTGGGCACGAAGCTCCGGGTCTGTCAGTTGGTCGGTGGCTTCCTTAGAGGCCCGAAGGCGGCCCAAGCTGCTCCTCTTCTTCTGTTAAATTCTTCTCTCAAGTCGTTCTCCATGTTAATCGAACGTCCGAGATACACGTAAGAAGACGTCTCCATAATAGGGGGTGCCTTCCAATTCCATGGAAAACCCTAAAGGGGAATTGAAGAATGAAAATTACTATATGCATTAGTTCTTAAAGCTTGAATCGAAATTAAAATGAATTTTTTCAAACACTTTTACACTCAACCGGTTTCGGGGCTTAGTCCTAAACCGGTGGAGTAGCTTTCTTGGTGCCCCTCTTCAGTAGTTCCCAAGAAAGCTGCAAAAGTTGTGAAAATGGTTCAGTTGCAAAACTTTTGAGTGCCTTCCTTTAAGAAATTGTAAAAGATAAATAGAAACAGGACACTGTCTCTGTCATTTCCGCATCATCGCAAGGGCGTTCTTCATGAACTGAGTCTTCTTCCAATTTATTCGCAATCCGATCTTCTTCCCTACTTCGTTTAGTTCCTTCAGCATCGTCTCTGCTTCGGTGATACTGTTCGAGAAGAGAACGATGTCATCCGCAAAACGAAGGTTGGACAGGAATCTCCCATCAACTCGTATGCCTCTCTTGTCCCAGTCCAGTGATTTCATCACCCACTGCAAGGCCGCGGTGAACAGCTTCGAAATAGTGTCGCCTTGTCGAACCCCCTTCCCGATCGGAATGGTCAGAGCGATGGAATAGCTGCATCGTTGTTGTACAGTCCTTGTAGCAGTCGGCTAGTGTCCTCACGTAAGCTGGGTCTACTCCTTGATCGACTAGCGCAGACAGGATGGCGTTGGTTTCGACGCTGTCAGAGGCTTTTTCGTAGTCGACGAAGGTTAGGACGAGAGGCAGTCGCTACTCGTAGTCTATGATCCTCGAAACCGTCTGATGTGGTCCATGCAACTGAATCCCTTGCGAAATCCAGCTTGTTCTTGAGGTTGGGCTTCATTCAGTGTCCTAGATATGCGAGCAAGGATAATCTTCGTGAAAAGTTTGTAGCACACTCAGCAGGCATAGATCGCCCTTCTTGAAGAGAAAGGCGGTTCTTGACGTTCTCCACTGGTCGGGAATTTCCTCCTTTTGAAGATAAGATTTTAAATGCGACGCTAGAACCCCGTGTACGTTGGGTCCTCCTTGATAGACCAGTCACAACTTGATATGAGTTCTTCTAACCTGTTACCGTCTTAAACGAGTTCTTTCCTTCTTGCAGCGCTGTGGCAGCTCTTCTCTTCCACCTTTTGACTGAATCGTACCTTCGCTCGAAGGAGGCGGTGATCGGAGCCACTGCAGAAGGAAGGAACTACTGTGACATCGAGCAAGCTTCACCTGAGAATGTGGTCGATCTCCGCGTGAGTCGTTCCGTTGGGCGATTTCCAAAGTCCACCGGTGATGTTCTTTCTTCATAAAGATGGAATTTCCATGGAAAAGTTGTGCGGCGAGAGAAGCCCAACGAGGCGGTTGCCTTTTTCATTTCGGGGCCCATATCTAAACTTCCCGATCCTATATTCCTCCTCTAGGCATTCCGATCTTCGCGTCGCCCACAAGAAATATGTAGAAGGACTTTTCGTTGTGGACGGCCTGCTTCACGCCTTCGTAGAAGGCATCTAATTCTCAATCGTCAGCTACTGATGTTGGTAAATAGCTTGATGATGCTGATGGCCTTCTGACGTGGAATTCTTAGTCGGAGGATGGCTAGTCGAAGTGACAGGATCTCATGCGAATCGACAAGATGGACTGTCATCGGGTTTCCCACGACCAACGGTGGGCATTCATGTTCTGCATTTTCCCCTTTATAAGAAACCATTTTGTGTACTTTCTCATGTGCTTATCTGAGGCAACTATCAGTCTATTGCTACCAGTATATATGTCTTCTGTGCGAAGAATGAAATAAATCGTTCTGCCACTGAATCGTCGGTACATCTTTTGGTGCATCGACAAAAAAAATCTGGTTGCTTAACCAGTATATCAGAGCGCTGATATAAGTGGCCCGCTGAGGTCCCCATCGAATCTTAAAGCGATGGAATCAATCATATACGGAAAGCCAATCCAAAACAGCTTCAACACGCTGAAATCACTAACCGCGAACTTCGCTACTTATGCGAAAGAGCAAAAATTTTTAGAAGAAGATGCTAATCAGTACGAAGAAACACTTCAAGCTATTGATCTCATTAGAAACAGTATCTCACAAATAGAAATCGCAAAAAACAACCTGCAAGAGCTTGTAGACAGGCTGAAACATGACTACGACAACACCAAAAGCAAAGAAGATAGAAAGAACATACTACAGCAAATGGAAAACATTGAAAAAGAAACAGACTTTACCGAAGTGAGCAGAGAAGCTACCGAAATGGTCTTCATGCTTGATACTCGTCTCACAGAAGCAATATCCAACGAAAAAAGACTAGCTCGCAAACTAGGGCTCTCCCACCAGACTTCTTCTCACAATGAAGTACACCAGGAACATGTTAACAGAATGCAAGGTGACAGTACACTTCCAAGAGAGAGCATGCAGACCTCTATGGCTTGCGTCTCGATTCCTCCCCCACGAATAAACATGCCGAAGTTCTACGGAAAAGAAGAAGAATTTCCAGAATTTTGGGCAGCTTACGAAACTCTCGTACACAAAAACCCATCGTTGTCCGTAATTGAAAAAATGCTCCTACTCAAAGAAAGCCTAAGAGGTAAATCAGACAGATCTATTAAAGGAATCCAGTTACTACCGCAGAACTACGAGTGGATGATAGATATGCTGAAAAGGAAATACGGGAACAGACCTACTAACAGAGCGCGCATTGTTCAAGAACTCACACATCTAAAGCCAGCCGGCAACTCTCCTCAAAGTAATGAATACGTCTACGACAAGATTTCCACGCTTCTGAATCAGATGATATCGACAGGGCAAGATATACGATTGTCGAATGACGCCATGTGGATAGAGGAAATACTGCAAAAATTTTCTCAAGCTATTGTAGAACCTGCCTTATAAAAATGAGAGAACACGAAGATGTGACAGTAGGAGGCATGATGGATATGCTAGAAGCGGAAATATCAGCGAAATCGTACGTTCAATCAAGAGGAAGCTTACGCCAAGAACAAAGAAAAACTTCTCCGCAGGTTATGTAAAAAAGAACGGATACTACCTATCAAAGCTGCATTATTTGTGGCAAAAGCGGTCACTACCCTTGGCAATGTAGATCAACAGTCAGCGTGACAGACAGAAGAAGGATCATGCTTGAAAAGCGCTTATGTTGGAAATGCTACTCCAATCAGCATACCAGCGCTGAGTGCAATAGAGAAAACTGTCCACTTTGTGGCAAATTACATCACGTCAAATTATGCTTTTTTAATAGAAACTTGCAAAATAGTAGCAACACTGGTACGGTTTCACCAGGGAACGATCCGCAAAAAGGCCAATTTCAGAACGCACAAGAAGTCGTACAAAATGCCACATACCAAAAAGCCAAAGTTGCACATGTCGCTGGCAAGCCGGAGATTCACACAAAACAGAATAAAAATCGTCTTACCAACGCTCACTTTGAAAAGGGCATTGTGAACCAAAATGTCGGTTTGAACAACGAAATCGAAAAGAATAGTACGGCGAGCCACACAAGCATCCAAGGCGAACCTCTTAAAGAAAAATCAGAAGAACAGATCGTCCTTATGGCTGCGACCGGAAGCATCTGGAATCACAATTCCAAAAAATTTGAAAAGGCAATATTCTTTTTTGACACTGGAGCCCAAAAGACATTGATCCAAGAACATTTCGCATACGAGCTGGGCCTTCCGAAGCTCAAATCAGAAACCTGCATAATGTCAGGCATTGGAGGCGTATCAGAAACTTTTACGAGCAACATCGTATCCTTGAGGGTTGGCACAGCATACGGAAAAGATTTTGAGATACTGATACAAACAAAACCAATACTAACCAATGGGTTCCCAGCAGTGAAACTGTCATCAACCGATCAGCAGTTCTAACAAGAAAACGATATCTTAGTCTGCAACCCAAGCATCCGAGGTGAACTACAAGTGCCGCACATTTTAGTCGGCCTTGATTACTACTACAATTTCATCCTAGATAACGGAGATCCACTTTATACACCATCAGGACTCCGAATGGCAAAAATAATATTTGGTCCGACTGTCTACGGACGTGGGAATATGGATGCTCGAGATCCGACAATAACATCGTTATCTACACCAATGATCGTCTACAATATGAACGCTGTTGATGAGTCAGAAAAAGAAATGCTTAACAAGCTGTTTGAGCTAGAAGGACTAGGTATATCCGCAGATGAAAATAACGAGGACAAAAATTTTCAGGAATATCTCAAGTCCTACTCGGAACAAATTTCCTTTAGAGGAGGATTTGTAACAGCTCCATTTCCTTTGAAACCCAATATACAAGATTTGGCGGATAACTACTCAGTCGCATTGAAACGTCTTCTGAGCCTACATCGGCAGTTAGAAAACAATCCACTTCAAAAAGAATGGTATTGTAAAATTCTAACCCAGTACGAAAACGATGATGTCATTGAAACAGTGTCAGAAGATATATGTGATTCAGTCGGGCTATATTATATGCCTCATTCCGCAGTATGGAGACCACACAAACCGAGACATTACGAATTGTTTTTGACGCGTCTTCAAAGAGAAAAGGCGAGCTATAACTCAACGATGTCATGCAGAAAGGCGCTTCACTAATAAACAAAATTCATGACATTCTTGTCGCAAGCAGAACGAGCAAAATCATTATGCTATGCGACATCGAAGCGGCATTCACCCAGATACGTCTTCGCGATACCCATAAAGACCTATGCAGATTTTTATGGCTCAAAGATCCAAACGCGTATCCAACTCGAGACAATATTATCGAATACAGATTCAAAAGAGTTCCATTTGGAGCAAAACCTTCACCGAGTATTTTGAACATGTCCAACATAGCATTTTTGCAGACAAAAAACACTTCGCTGGCACAAGAAATTCTCAGCAACTTGTATGTTGACAACATTCTGCTTGTAAGTGAAACTCTCGAAGAGGCATTGAACAAATACAAAAAAAGTAAAGCACATTTTGCTGAAATAGGAGTGAATCTTCGCGAATATGTATCGAACGACGAAAAAGTTAATGCATTGATACCAGAAAAGGATCGCGCTCCTAGCGGGACCATTAAACTTGGGAGTGACGTACAACACGTCAACCGATGAATTTCAACTGAGTCTGAAATTTGCACAAAAGAATATCCTTACAAAAAAAGACATCGTTAGCCAACTCAATTCAATTTACGATCCTATTGGAATGGCAGCACCCATAATGATTCGCTTCAAAAACTTGTTCAGAGAAGTTTGCAATACAGGGCTTGATTGGAAAGATATAATCATAAAAAGTCTGGCACTCGAATGGCAAAAATTATGTCAGCAAGCTAATACTACTACTTTATCGTTGCCTCGTTACGTCAACAACTGCCATTTTGACAATCTCTCCCTATGGGTTTTTGCAGATGCAAGCGAAAAAGCCCTCGCAGCCTGCGCATTCATTCGATATATTACAACATCGTTCGTCACTCGCTTGATCAGCGGGAAAACGCGGCTTGCTCCAAGAAACAACAAGCAGACTATACCTAGACCAGAAATTCTGGCCATACTCATGGCAATGCGCCTCGCAAAAACAATAGTTTTAGCCACATCTAAAAAGATCAGTGAAGTGAACATTATAAGTGACAGCGAAATAGCACTATCAAGGCTAAAATCTCAACACGATCTACCGCGCTTTGTTGAAAATCAAAAATGCCGCATAAATAAGATCCGAGCAATCTTGAACGCAGCAGAGATACAAACCAACTTTTTCCACGTGCCCTCAGAATACAATCCTGCTGATGCAGGCACGCGTGGCGTTGAAGCAGAAAAGATGCAAGATCTACCATGGTTACAAGGACCTCTTTGGTTGAACGAAGAAATAACACCAAGGTATCTCAGACTCATATGTGACCGTACAGAAACCGGAAAAGAGGACAACGATTCAGAACAAGAAGACAATGTCCAGAGAAATCGTCACAATTTGCAATTATCTCTGCACCATGATAAGGTCACTAGTCCAGCTCTCATTCAGCTTTCACGGTTCTCGCGATTGAGCACCGTTATACGAACAATAGCACGAGTGGGAAAAGTTATCCATCGTTGGATATACAAAGTAAATACGAAGATCGATAATACTTGCAGAATAACGCTAAGACACATCAACGCTTTCGACCTAGACCAAAACATTACAGCAAACGATATACTTCTAAGTGAAAAGTTGCTCTTGCGCGAAGCACACAGAAGTATTTCAGTAAATGAATTGCAGAAAAAGTTCCCACAAAAGAAAGTATTTCGAGACGATGAAGGAATCATAAGAAACGAGTCACGCTTGCAAAACGCCTCTATCAACTACAATACTCGCAATCCGATACACATTGAAAAAGACTCAGATCTTGCTAGACTCTCTAACAGATATCCATTCAAGAAACGCTCATTCAGGAAAGGAACATACATTGTGCATAGCAAGACAGCGATATTGGATCTCTCGCCCATCTTTCGCTTTCAGCAAATATGTGAAAAACTGCGTGATCTGCAAGAAAACCCAAGGGCTTCCATTTGGGGCTCCTGAAATGCCACCCCTTCCAAGAGACAGAGTGATGATCACAAAGCCATTTCAAAACATAGGCTGTGACTTTATGGGTCCCTTTTACTCTCAAAGCAATGAAAAAATGTACATATGCCTTTTTACTTGCTTGACCACCAAAGCGGTACACCTCGAAGTAGTCGAGGACTTGTCTGCAGGTGCATTCTTCAATTCTTTTATACGATACATATCAAGACGTGGCGTCCCAAAACTGATTCGCACTGATTGCGGAACGAATTTCAAGCTAGGCCAACACATTATCAGCACCATGTTCGAAGAGGATCAGAAAATGGGAAATACTGATGTCTTATGGGCAGTGTCCGGGCAAAAACTCGATTTTGAGATTTTGTGCTTACTTGGGCCTATTCGCTACGCTGAATCCGAAAATGCACATTGTAGAGCGCGAAAATGGCGAAGAACGGCTCTAACACAGGAGGGAAATGAGCAGGTGGGCGGGGTCCTCCCCACTGCGAATTCACGTTCCCGGCTTCCGGAGCGACCTTCTCGCTTCCGGTTTTTAAGTGAATCATTCGCACTTGACTGGTAGCGATGTTAGGACGGCTAGCGGAATAGAGAAAATCGCTCCGGGAGTTGGGAGCATGAAATCGCACTGGGGAAAGCTCCGCCCACCTGCTGATTTTTCTCCTGTGTTAGAGCCCTTTTTCGCGTTTTCGCGCTTTCCAATGTGGATTTTCGGATTCAGCATGGCGAATAGGCCCGTATAAGTCAAATCTCAAAATCTCAAAATCGAGTTTTTGCCCGGACACTGCCTTTTTGCTACGCATGGCATACAGTGGATATTCAACCCACCAGGAGCACCCTGGTTGGGTGGAGCATGTGAGCGTCTTGTTGGTACCGTAAAGAGAGCTTTGGCAAAATCCCTAGGCAGAAAGAAGCTTTCATTTACGCAATTCTGTACAGTTGCAGCAAGAATAGAAGCTATAGTCAACACCCGTCCTTTAACATCAATACGCGCATGTAAAATCGACGATATACCTATCAGACCTATAGACTTCCTCGAAAAAAGCCTTCGATATGCATTACCACCAGTAAGTCGTGAAGAGGCTCAAGATCCCTCATTCGATCCTTCTCTCATACAGACTACAACTCAAGCCAAGCAAGCATTGGAATTTGTGGAGATCATATCGGAAGAATTCTGGGAGCGATGGCGCGTTGAATATCTCACCGCGCTTCGCGATATACAAGTAAAAAATCGAAGGCAACCAAGACATGCGAAACTAAAAGAACTAACCGTTGGCGAAATTGTGCTAGTCGAACAAGAAAACTTACCACGCGGAAGCTGGTGTTATGGAAAGGTTCTTGAGTTGATCAAAAGCAATGATGAATTGGTAAGGTCAGTAAAGATACTTATGCCTAACAAGCACGTCTGGCACAGACCATTGAACAAGATCTACCCACTAGAAATACCTTGTCCTCCCGATTCACCTACACAGAATATCCCACCAGGACAATGCGAAGAAACAACAGAAAATGAAAGTTTGGAAACCACCAAGCCAATAAGAAAAGCCAAAATGAAAGCGAAAGAGGCGCTGAAATCTATGTACTCTGAACAAGCAGTAAACGTTAACTTGTTTGCGACACATATGCTAACGATATGCCTATATCTAGCAAGCGTCGGAACAGCTGTAGCTCTACCCAAAATGGCGTGCAAAAGCGGCAAGCTTAGTGTAGTAGGCAAACTGTAAGCAAACTATGTTTCAAAACAACATGCAAAACATTTCCATTACTATCGGAAGAGCTTCTCTTGTCACTACCGATGACATCAAACAAAACAAAGTTACAGTCTCATTACGATACCTTGAAAAGAATAATCTCCGCATAATCAATAAAACATGCGATGGCAGCACAAAGCATTCTTTCGAAAAGTCTCATTGGAAACCCTCACTGTTGGCCTACAGGTGTGCTGATATCAATGGGAATACTAATCTACTTTGTTGTATCCATTGTCATGACCGTTGCTTGGTGCATCAAGAGAATATACAAAGTACAAAAGACCGCACACACATCACATCGAATAGAGAAAAAAACGTCAATAAAAACCCCGAGAAACAACATCGAAAATATACAATTGCGTCATTTCCAACTCACACCAATTGGACGCACTAACACACTCGCAACAACAATAGTAATCATTCTCAACCTCTTATCTGCAAAAACATCAGCATGCCAGCACGCGCATAGCCGTTTCAACACAGAAATGATTTGCACATCAAAAAACGAATGCTTCCTCGAATTCAATCGTGAAATTCTGTTCAACGATTTAGAAAATTCTGTTTGTCTCAACATTTTGCACGCAAATCAAACCATTGGTAACATACACATGGAAAGACTAGCTTTAGAAATGAAATGCTCAAAAAGAACAATTTTTTTCACAAGAGAGACCAAACACCAGGTTTACAGCGTGAAACGATGCGCTCAAATGGGATCATGCATCGATGCCATATGCACAGAAATGAACGAAAGCACTCATATCGCTGAATTTGGGAACGCTTATCAGTATCCAGGATATTCAGGATGCGAGCCATCTTGTGGAGGCTTCTTATGCGGCTGTTTACTACCGCTACCTGCGTGTTCCTTTTATCGCATAGCGCATTTACCACAAAGTAAAGTCGTGTATAAAATTGCGAAGTGCATCGAATGGGTACCAAGCATTCAACTAAAAGTTCACGTATCACTATATAACAGCCATACTGAAAAAGTGCTTAAACTAATTCCATATATTCCATTAGAAATAGATACCATCTCGTTCACGGTCATCTCAATAGCAAAGCCGACCCCTCCTATATTAGGCAGCAAATTCGCAATATCAGAAATAGACACGCTCTTAGTACCAGACAATTATAACATCCCGGTTGAATGCGCAACAATGGACGATGCAACTGATCATTTTCAGAACTGCAAAAACAGAATGATCTGCACTTGTGACGTAGAAGCACCACCAGCTAGATGCTACTGTCCCAGCTACTCATTAATCAACCTAAAAGCGCATCAAACAAACATTTTCCCTATTTCTACGCCATCTTTCACAATCACGAACAGAAAGGGTACACTGACTGTGTTGTCCAAAAAAGGGGAAATGACGATTTCGGTGCAGTCAAAAGCGTTAAAGCACGCTTCACAATATGTGCTTGAGCAAGATTGTAAGGTCCATTTTGAGCAGCTTACCGGTTGTTACAACTGTCAAGAGGCGGCTGCTCTCGTAACTTACTGTCGCACAGATGAACCGTCTTGGGTCATTATTCAATGTGAAGACCATTCCTTTCCCATCCAATGCAACTCAACTGTAGCAGAGACAAAAATCATCCTCGCCTTTCAAGAAGCAGTGGTCGACCAAATGTGCCAGGCAAAATGCAATGGCCGTTTCCTAAGTATACCACTACAAGGTGTTCTAGCATACCTACCACATCTCAGTGACGGTGAAATATTAGAATCACATGCAAGCCCTTGGACGACATATCCTGATTGGTTTCATAGCTGGACCATGCCCGATCTCAAACGCTTCTACTAACCATAAAAAACCACTGGAAAACTGCACTTGCAATAGTAGGAGCAGTGGCACTGATGTCAGCTGCAACTTATTTCGCAGGACCCACAATAATATTCATGGTCATACGCCTACTGATCTAATGCGCTAAACTCCTGCTATGCATAATTGTCTCCATCGTAAAATGGCTTATAGCAGTGTTAAAGAAAACGCTCACAATCGTTTGCCACAAACCCCGCAGCTCAGAAATAATCACACCGACGATAAGAGAAAAACGAAAACAAAAACAGTCTCAAAACAATGAAAAAATATTGAGATGCAACATTAAATTGTACATAATCTTCTAGTATAAATATAGGAGCCGCTATACTTTCATAATTCTGATGGACGCATTCGACATATCTCTGCAAATAGACCAAGTCAAGGATTCCCTCAAGGAAATCAAGGACGACGCAACGGCCGCCGCTCTCGCCACCCAGTCAAGAATCGACGCACTCTCGGATATGCTCAAGGACCACATTCAAGGCATGGAACAGAAAATCGCTGTCATCTTGGAAAGAACCAAACCGCGATCAATGTGCGTTTTTTGCACGTACGAGGACAACAAGGACTCTCACCCCACAGGGAGGTGCTTCCGCTATCCAGACCCGGTGGCCGTGCCATACAAGTCACCCGCCTCCAGCTCTGCGACAAATGCCTCCAGCCTCATCATGAACAAGACTGCGGAATCAACTGCAGTTTCTGCGGCGGAGAGCACAACATGCTCTTGTGTCCCGTCAAAACGCCGCATTCTTCGGCGAAGCGGCGCAAAATGTAAACATCCGCGCGCCGCCGAGATGCACCTATATTCAGTGCACCTCATCCACCACCGCCGTGCGCCCCTTCGATGTCATCACCGCCTTGATATTACGCTGCTGCCGCCCCGTCTCGCCTTAATCCAACACCGCCTCTGCTCTGTATTCTCCACATCGTCAGGCCTCCATCCCCACCATTCATCCCCGCCGTCGCCAGGTTGACCACCAACTACGCAGGCTGCCTCACTACCAGTGACTCCTCAGCCCACCCCTTCCCCTTCGCTATTCATCAACAAAAGCAGCCCATCTAAGTATTCTATGCTCAACTACTCCGCCACGCAATCGTCCGCCGGTGAGCAATGTCGACAGGATAAATGATTTTGACAAGTTCGTTGTTGTTATTTTTGCTAACTGCCGGAGTGTTGTTTGTTTTTTTTGCTGGCTGCCGGAGTGTCGTCGGGTTTCCCACGACCAACGGTGGGCATTCATGTTCTGCATTTTTCCCCTTTATAAGAAACCATTTTGTGTACTTTCTCATGTGCTTATCTGAGGCAACTATCAGTCTATTGCTACCAGTATATATGTCTTCTGTGCGAAGAATGAAATAAATCGTTCTACCACTGAATCGTCGGTACATGGACGATAGATGGGTGGACGACAAAACCAACGCCTCCAACGTTTCGTGATGGAACCTTTTCACCACGAATGATGAGGGTCCCAACACTCATCTGTCGCGCGTCCTTCTTCCTGGACTTCGTTTCCTGCAGAGCGATGACGTGGTATTTGATGTGCTCTGCAGCGTCGAGAAGAACGTGGAGGTCGGCGTTTGTGGAGACTGTCCTGGCGTTGTAGGTGCAGAGAATGAGGCAGTCTCCACGGCGTGTCATCCGGGCAGACGTGTCGTTTTTATCCAATCCGAAAGGCGCCCTGGATACCCTGACATCGTTCTTGCTACTACCCGCGCCGTAGGCGTTACCCGATATGCAGGATTTATTACTCTTCTCTTTGCTGAACGACCCTATTTTCAGGCGTATAAGCCGCACCCTTCTCACTATAAAGGCGCACACCTCAAAAGATTGCCTGTTACTGGGGCGCGTCAATTGAGAGCAATGCGCGAAAAAGCGACCGCTTCGCGAGGCACATGCGCAGCGGCACGCCTGGGTCTGCTCGCGTTTAGAGAAAAAGGGTGCGGCTTATAACCTGAAAGTAGGGTATTTGTTGGAGAGTAATAATTGTTGTTTTGTTTTGTGTTGTTATTGGCTTGTAATCTTTAGGATCTATTGGTATTGTATTGACCTATGCGCGGGATCTGAGCGCTATATAAGGCGCTCCCTGCTGGCTAAGTCATTCGTTCGTCTTGTCTTATCGTCTGTTCTTATTCATATCCGGTCTACTAATAAATCTACTATTCTACAAGTGTCCCGGACCCACCACAAGAAGTAGAAGGCTACAACAGTAATAAAAAATTTTTCCCTACAAGAACAAACTTAGTAGACCAACTCTTGATTTCCACGGGGGCTCGGGTGTGGAGCAGGGAGGAAACCGCCTAGCGACCAGAGAAAGTTAGACGGCGGGGGATCTGGCCTTGGAAAATTCATCTTGCCCAATACTAAATAGCCACCTTTGGTTGCCCAGAAAATTCATTGTGTTGCACTTCCTTTACTCTGAACCATGGCTTTCAGAACACTTTCAAAAGTCAGGAATGAAAATTCAAGAAACAGGTAAATTTGGGTTAGCTAAAAACTATGGATTATTATAATTCTGATTTTCTGACCAATTACCGCGGTTTAATCTTTTATTGGCGCTGAACTTAGGTTACAACCTAATATAATAATTATCGAAAATAGGATATGTTGCATTTTGGTTGTCACGCTCAAAGGCATTGTCCAGGCAAATCTGGGTGCATGGCTTTTTCGCCTGGAGATTGATGAGGGTGTCTTAACTAAGGCATTGTTCAAAGGGGAGCGCAAATTGTTCATTTTCGGCTGAGAAATCCGTTCTCGAAAATTCCGAACTTGCGCCATGACCGTAACCCAAAAACGAACACGCTCACTTTGGCACTATGTTCGCGCTGAGACCCATCCTAAATGTCACGGTCACGGCGCAGCCGCGGAGTGTTTATGGATATGGATTTCTCAGCTGTAAATGAATTATCTGCGTTGCGGTTTGGACAGTGCCTTAGCTAGGACCTCCTCAACAATTTCCAGGCAAAAAAACCATATGCCCAGATTTGCCTGGACACTGCCTTCAAATCATCTTTCTCGATTTCCAGGCGAGAATCAAAGAAACTACAGAAACAAAACATCCTACAAAAAAACTGTTTGATTGTAAATAACTCTCTTGTAATTAAGTGTTTCGAGAAACTTTAGGTACCATTTTGTAGAGCGAGGTTCAACTTAGATTTACAGTGTAGAGCGAATCGCCGGCCGCTCATGCTTAGTGTAAGATAACGTTAGAAACTTTGAAGAGGGTTTTGAGCCATGAAAGGCCATATTTTGTTCCAAAAAAGAACCAAAACAACCTGAAAACTCTCACACTGGGTTAATTAGAGTTGCATTCTAAATGTGAGGTTCGCAACTATTCGTAATGCTTCATTAAGAAATTATGCGAGGTAAGCAATAGCGGCCTTTTTTTCGGTTTCCTAAAAAGTGCGGTTACACCGTTTAGAAAGCTTCGAAACCTTGTAAAGAGTTGGATTGAACTCAGCGTCCATGGAAACCCTATTACACAAGTTTCCACATTTTTTGAAAATTTTGAAACGGCCGCTTTTTTCAAGGTGACAACGTATGTTTGAAGTTTCTACCGTAATCCTAAAGTAAGAATGAGCGATCGGCGATTCGCTTTACGCTGTAAATCAAGTTGAATTTCGCTCTACAAAATGGTACCTAAAGTTTCTCGAAACACTTCGTTACGAGAGAGTTATTTACAATCAAACAGTGTGCACATTTTTTGGTACACCCTGTATATATTGTTTGTATGGCCCTAATAATGACCATGTGGAGTTCCTTAGAATATTGAACGAAGGTTCAGTTTATAGGTGATCAAATGTTCTAGATTTGAATTTAAACTTCCCAAGATACATGATTAATCGGAAAGGGATGCCCATTTTGTACAGCTTGCTTTGCTCTATTGAATAATGGGACCCTTGTACTGCTTATATCCATATCGTAGGAGCACAAAAATCAAACTTTTAGCACTAACTTATAAGTGATCTAGAAGCAGCATCCGGAACGAGTGTCACCATACAGAGGAAAATAACTGGATAGGTGCAGGAACCAGCCCGCGATGTACAAGAGAGTTCTGGGAATTGTGCGCAGTCAGGAGCCTCTTGGCAAGCTGTTCCCATATAAGATTCGAGTGTCTCGTGTCGTTACGCTACTACTGCGATTCAGATATGCAAGAGCAAAGGAGAATCGCATACTGCTTATCTTGACGACCAATCCGACTGACATAGAGCAAGCGTTAACCTGAATTCATTATAGACCGAATGAGTCACCCCTTCACTAAGGATTTGCAAAAGGAGTGGGCACCATCAATGCCACTAACTCCGCCTGGGACGGGACAAGAGATGCAAAGAAGCGGAAGGAGTTGCGTGGGCCTTACTCTACCATACAAAACGCTTTTATCCAGAAATTCATATGCTCGGCTTTACGGGAACATATGGTGCCAGTAATGTATACTCATTAGATAATGATGATTTACAGCGACCCCGCGTACAATTGGCTGCAGGACATTCGAAAAAATTCTAATTGAAGTTGAAGTACGTCAGGTCCACTTGTCTCTCTCTTACTCTTTTCACACTCATGTAATCGTACCTTTGAACTTGAGCCTCCTTGCACGAGCGGACTATGTGGTGTTGATGGCAACTGAAAAAAGAACTGACAATGGATTGTAAGGTACAAAAAAACTGGAAGATCACAGGGTAGCATGAATTCGGAAGAAGATAGGATATATGAAAACAAAAATTATTTATCTCCTTCGATCGTACTTAGTGTTAGGGCAGGCGCTATACTCTTCGAGGAGTATGGCATCCCTTCAATCAAAATGCATCAGATACGTTTAAAATCGGCGAATTTGTGCCGATGTGACAATCTCCCTTCGTAACGACCAGCGATCGCCAGTTCTGGCGACTACACATTGGATGCGTATCGATTGCACAAGTACATAAAGGGTACTGCATGACGAAGGCGCACAAGCAATATTACTTGAGCGCGCGCGAACGCGAGGCGTGCTAACTTCATCGTTGTAACGCTGCGTCTCATGCCCTCCGCGGCTAATTAAGCCGCGTGCGCGCCCAAAGGTATTACGCCTTCGTCATGCAGCAGCCTATATATGCCAGCACTCGATAGCTGTCTAAATTGCAATCGCCAACCTTAGCGAGTGGCGATGGGGGAGGCGATACTCTTAGAAATGTAGCGCCTGCCTAAGGGACTGAAAAGGACGTAAGCAAATGCCTAGGAGATCAAATCTCAGAGGAAGAAGATCTGGAAGGAGATAGCTCGGAATAAAGAAAGTAGATTAGATTGCTTTAAGCCTTAATCGTGCGACAGCGAATGCCTTTGCAGCTTCAATTACAACTATATTGGAGGGTCATCCGGACCAGCTGCTGTTTAAGACTGAACGCTGGCAGTGCACGCAAAGCGAATAATACAAGTTCAGTTTACCTTGTGCTCAGTCTGTTTTGCACAAGTATCAAATTTCTAGCCTAGAGCATGTATTTGGTAGTTTCAGGCATATTCATATCCAACGCTCTACACTCCTCCTTTAGGAGCGTCACTGTATCGTCCTACGAAGACATGAACAGATACGACAAAAGGTTTCAGTACGTGAGTGCGCTTACGACCGATACAATGAGCTTGATTTATTTTCATACAGGAGCTTGATTTTAGTTGATTGAAAAATTCAGCACAGTCTTCAAGTATTGTGATCGGGAAGAAACCAGCTTGTTCCATCAGGTTTGTCGTCTTCTGGAAGAAAGTAAAGAAATTCATCATTACAGGTAGTTTATTGCTCACATCAAACTCTTGTGCCAAAGCTTCGCACCAATACACAGCAGTTCTTTGCTGAAAACGCGAATATAATAAGTGACTGAGGATATATAATAATCTAAATCAGTAATAAAATTGATCCTTACACCTCCATCTTTTGAGGCGACTATAAATGGTAGAATCACCTGTTAGCTTACTTTATGCTTGCTGGAAATTGAAGATGGAGCAGTGTTATGCCTTGATCATGCGATGGTCTTTGCCTTGAGCAGCAATGACTTATATCTGATAAGTTTATCATGTAATGAAGTAAATGCACACGACAAGGCTCCCATTTGCTTTACGAAGAATTAAGGTGTGTTTCTGGGTTAAAAGGTTCTGTTGGTACAATCTGCAGAGAATGAAATTCGGAAAAATTGAGGAAAAAGCAGACAAAGTTAGAAAAAAATACAACAAGAGGCAATAATGTCCAAAGACGTATCTACCAAAAGGGAGACAATGAAGCTCTGAGATGGCTTAGCTGCGAGAAATTAAGGTGGAAGTAGAGGATTACACACTAGAAATACCTGAACTTTTGTACCAGAAAAGAAATTACAAGTTTCATGCCTGAGGTTGCATAATTTCTAATTTAATGTTGTGCCATTTATTAAATTAAAGTGTGTGTGTGTGTGTGTGTGTGTGTGTGTGTGTGTGTGTGTGTGTGTGTGTGTGTGTATATGTGTATGTGTGTGTTCCTCAGGTGGCATGTAATCAGTTGGAGGACACAACTTCAGTGCAGTTTGTGCTTAGAGTTTTTGCAGAAAGTGCAGAACTTCTTAATATAGTTTGAATTGGAGAGCGGCCAGGATCCTCCAAAGGCTTGCCGCTTCTCTAGGTGGGAGGTAATGTTCGCTTCGCGCTTACCTCGCACCTAGTCGCACCTACACGCATTCCTGCACTAATACCCCTCCGTACAATCGCCTTGTCTCTCCTGCATTCATTAGAGAGGTCAGCATATAAGCGAAGAGTAAATGATTTTGAAAAAAAAATCAAAGTGCTGTGAGAACAAATACCAGAATAAGCAGAAGATAAGAAAAGTGATTGTGAATGTAGACATTGAAGAAGTAGTAGGTGATTAGTCACGTTAGCTAACTGAATGTTTAATCAATCTACAAGGTTTTTCTAGATGAACTATGCATGAAAAAATTCAAACGGAAAAATCGGTAGGAGTCACTTTCTTCCAGAAAAGATGCGCACAAAAGAGAAATTTGAACAAAATTAGCAACAAGAATGGAACAAGAGTAATAAATGGCAAATTTTGCTCCAAATCAAATTTCCTGAGTGACATATGCATTTTGTCGCGGCTCGCGATCGACCGCTCCTCGCAGCATGTGGCCGGGAGCACCGTGTTGCCGCGCGTTCAGTCGTGAGCACGGTCGCCGCGCTTTAGGGCGGCTACTCTGTTCGATTTCGGACCGCTACGTAGGCAAGCCCCCAGCCTCCGCTATAATTAGCGCGTGCGCGCGTCATTACGGCTTTTCCCTTTCGTCTTGTTACTATCGTCGTCGTGCCATTGTATCATCGATTGGTTGGATTTCCACGATATCGGCGTTATGCCTACGTCCCCATGCCTTGCGCGCAAATGTGTGGATCGACGATGGAGTATTTGGATGGACGCGCCAGGATAGAACTCTTGGACGACGAATATCTGAAAGCGCGTAGACGCGCAGGACTTGTTGGGAGCAAGGTTTGAGGCTCTTGGTTAACATCACGGGGTCGGTGTCAGCCATGTCGTCGCTGCTGCCTTGGTGGCACGCGTGGTCGACCTGTGGGCCAGCTCCCTTGGAAGTTGGGAGTGTGTGAGAGTGTGCTAGGGAGAGAGTGTAAGTGAGTTAGCGGCCCATCGGTAGCCCGGAATTGAGCTTAACTGTCCCCGTGGTAAGTTTTCTTTTATGCTTATTTTTGTATTGTCTATTTTAGTTTAGCTTAGTAAATTTGTATATATCTATGCTTGTGTGCTATGGACAGGCTGACGCGCTGGTATGGACTTTGAGCTCACCCGTATCTGCGGGAAGTCCCTTGGGGTTGGAAACTAGGGTGTATGGCAGAAAAACCCCTCGGAAGAGGCGCTAAGCCCACCGAGCTGCAACCAGGGTCAAGCGTGCTGATGCGATCCGGGACCCTCATTTACGACCCCCCCCCTTGAAGGTACCCATCCGTACGACCCCCCCTCCCCTCCCCCCCCCCCCTCCTTCCTCACCCTCACCCATTTATCCCCCTTACCTCCCCTGCTTACATTTCTCGCGGTAACCTGCATAAACGAATGTCAATCTCAAAAAACACATGCGTAACTTCAGCGAGGTTTCGGAAGCAGAATTTCTAGGCCAATCGGTGCATCCATCATCTGTAGCACACATACCTTACCTTTAATAATGTTTGAGATTCTGCAAGTTTTTTTTTAATTTTCAGGCATACTTCAGGCCAGCAAATTCGATTCCCGTAGGCGACACAAATTTTTGCACGAAGAAAAGATGACATTCTTGAACTACAAAAGATGTTTTCGACTAAGAAGCTTAACCTCTTCCACAGTTTTCCCGCGAAAAGAAACCGCTTGAGCGCCGTCCAGAACGACGTCAAAAACGTGCATGAGCACGGTAGTTTGAAAATTCGTAACTAAAAGCAGGAAAAGACTGAGAGGCTGCAAAGCATAGGTTCTGTAGTATTGTGCCCAGACTATCCAAAGAAAAAGTTTCAGCTCTTGAGGAGCAGTAAGCTTGAAAAAATTTAGATGCGATCCTAAAAAGCAAAAACTGGGATTTTTTAAGCTTAAAATTTTGTAACTTACCAGAGAAGTTATAAAACAGCCTGCAATTTCTATGAGGGAAAGTAGAAGGATGGCTCATATTACAGCAGAATTGCAGCCAACAAGCTTCAATAGCTCCAAAGAAATTTAGATGCGACCCAGATACGACCCCCCCCCCCTTTCCTGACTTTTTGCTACCATACATAAAATCATAAGAAAATCTACAGTCAACAAAATAATACCACATTTTGCACTGATATAGCGGAGCATTTCAAAAGTACAGATAAATCTTATGAGCCCATGAAAACGTTGCAAAAAGATTTAGAATTTTATAATGGTCACAGCTGGTAAAGACATTCGCTTTTGTCGAGTGTGTGAGACTTCAGGAAGGCTTCAGAAGCAAGATTTCAGGGCAATCGGTACATTTAGCATTTTTATCGAATAATACATCCTTCAACAGTGTTTTGAGCTCTTGTAAATGTTCTTTTCTTAAGAATTTTTACAGATTTCATCTTTTTATTCTGATTTCCACTTTTTTATAGATTTATTGTAAAGAACATAACTAATTGCCTGCTTTTTGATTCCCTTTAAAGCCTAGGGTATTTTAGCTACCTCTAACTACCTCCTTTTACGACCCCCCCCCCACCTTAGTACCCTCTTACGACCCCCGTTGCGACAGTCGCATCACAAGCTTGACCCTGGCTGCAACACATTTGGAAGACTCAGTGCTCATAGGATTGATTTTAGTTCAAAAAGCCAGCTATTATGTAGAAAAAAGATGACTCTGAACTGATCTGCGAAGCTATGCGTTTCCAAAAATATCTGTAAACCGTCGCCCTAGAGAAATAATTTCGTCCGTTGCTATATTGCAGATACATTGACGACTGCTTCATAATCTGTTCGATTCTACGCTCATCTATCACATCTTCAATGAACACGATCGGAGGCACTTTTTCCACAGCACTTTCATTGCTCTCTTGAGAATCATTTACTCGTCGCTTATGTAAATTTTTTCTGTTTATGCCAGGAGAAACAAGGGGATTGTCCGGAGGGGAACTAATGCAGGAATGCGCGAGATAGGTGCGACGTAGGCGCGAGGTAGGCGCGAAGTGATAATTACCCCTCACGAAGATACCCCTGCTTGGAGATCTTCTTCCGTTTTGCGATCCCTCATTTTCTTTCGGCTGCGCTTTCAGCAACCATTAATAGGACGAAAAAGAAAAATCAGTCTCAGATCACCCTGTAAAATCCAGAGATCTGAGCTATCAAATATAAATATATTTTCTCACCTTACCTAGCAATATAAGTATATAGTAAAGCAGATTGAGCGCACTACCGTAACCTAGATGCTCTCAACATTAGTTGAGTGAAAGTACTATATCTTCTTTAAAAAACGGTATGGCGGATATTTCTGCTGTGAAGAGAAGAAGGGTTAGAGGTAGAAACAATATAGTATGATACAGCGAGATGTTTGGATAATTTCAAGGTAAGTTAATGGAGTGTGTAGACCCGTTAAAGGGTGTGGCACCCGCACCTTTTGAGTGGTTGTGCCACATCTTACTAAAGGCAGTGGCTCAGCAAAACCGAACACTTCAAAATTTTGATATGGAAGGTTGTTGAAGGTCTCTGCGGGTCCCTCATATGCTTGGGAAAATTCGAAATTTTTTTCGAGTATTCAAATATCGAATATATTCGAGAATCGAAAATTTCGAATATTCGACTTCGAATAATATACAAAAATCGAAAATTTCAAATACTGGAGTATCGAATATCATTCGACTTTCGAATATCATTCTTTCGTATCATTCGAAAAATTGGATGTCTATGTGATATGATAACATTGTCAAGCGCATACTTTACAAGTGCTGTAAGTCTTTGTAATATCTGCTCCACGACGAAGGCGGTCAAATAGGTTAAAAGCTTGTAAGGATGACGCGCACGCGGACCGCGGGCAATCGTCAGCCACGAGTCGCGCGCATGCTAACGTGAATGACCGCTGACCAAGCGTGCGCGCGCCCTGTGGCTGACAATTGCCCGCGAGCCGCAGCCTTGCGTGCTTTCAACCTATTTGAGCGACCGCCTTCGTCTTGGAGCAGATATTAGTTCCCTTTTTGCGACTACTACTCTACAGTGCACGAAGTATATCCCAGCGCGCTGCGCGGGCTCTCTCCAGCCCGTGCTGTCGACAACTCGTCAATACACATATAGTATACACATTGTTGAACTGTATAAGTGCTATACACACAATTTTTGAATTGGTACTCATGGTATTAAACAATCTTTCTCTCGTTGGCAGTAATAAGCTAGACCGCTGCTGGAAATACT